AGTCAATTGTTAGAAAACTTAAGGGTACCCATAAGGAATATGCAAACAGTAGGGGTATACTTAATCAATTTTGTAAAACTCAAGTGTACAAGTGTAAGCAATTTCCAATTCAACTGAGCTTTGCGATGACAATAAATAAATAATCCCACAGGTAAGCATTTATCTATCAGAATACATCTTTTCACATGAACAATTAATTATACAATATTTTATTAAAAGTAATATCTTCTTCAGCAAAAAAAAAAAAAAAAGAAAAAAAAAAAGAACTACTCATCTAACCTGAATAGCCAAGTAAGAAGAAAGGAACTTTCAAAAAGTATATAGTATACAAAGAAGTTCTAATCGTAAATATCATCTGAACCTTCATCAATCTATAAGTTACATTCATGTTTTTTAGACAACAAAACTAGTGACATCACAAGGCAATGCTACTTATACGTTATCACATAAAACTCTTTTAAGTTTTAAAATTTATTCCCAATTGGTTACCCACCACCATGAATTAACACATTTCAAATGTTTGTATAGAATTAGACCTATTCATGGGCCAGGTTGGGTCGGGTTTTGTCTTTTTATTAATGGCTTCAGGCTCAGCCTGAGCTCAGCCTAACCATTGGGCCTAGGTTTTGAGCCCGAGACCGACCAAAAATTTGAAAAAAAAAAGATTTTTTTCTTTTTTATTCAATAAAAAACTATTAGATTTATATTAAAGACCTCAAAACCCAAAAATAATGAAATATCCGTGAGCAAAGAGCAAAGGGACAAAGAGAAAAATATGTATATATTTACATTATATAAAATATATTTTTGTTTATATAATATTTTTTGAGTTGGGCTTAGGCTCGGGTAGAGCTTTTTTGAGAAAGTTTAAGTCTAGCCTAAAAAAAGTTGGGCCTAGTGTTTTGGGCCCAAGCCCATAGGATAAATTCATGTCCAAGCTTGACTTACAACGGGTTGGACCCAACCTAGCCCATCGGGCTACTTGACCCATGAACAAGTCTATATAGAATGGACAAAGAACTAGAATATGTCTTCAACTCACTTTGATACAAGTTGGACTATAAAGGCATTTATCTTATATAAAGGGATAATTATTAGTTACAACAATCATAGAGAAGCTAAAAAGAAATTCAAAGCTATACTACTTAATGAATAAGTATCCATACACATCTTGTATATTTTTCCAATAA